CAAATTTCCTTTAGCTTTGGGTTGATGATTTTCCAGCCAAATGGGTTTTTTTGTTTGTGTTTGAGCTGGAAATTGAACTCAGGGCCTCACAGGTATTAAGCATGCACTTTACCACTAAGTAACACACTAGCCAAGATTGCTTGTGCTTACAATTTCAGGCTACATGGATATCCCTACATCTAACTACTATCTCTACTTTGGGGAATGTCTTTTTCCAGAAAACCAAAGAAACTCTGTGCATTCTTAAGATAAAAAGGTGAGATTTAATAACAGGTCCTGACATTTCCAGGGGTCAGTCAGCAAACTGCATGAGGTGTATCCCTGAAATAACCTCACTGTATTTGCAAGCTCCCACTGACAAAGTTATTGTGGATGGACTTGACCCTACCAGGGTCCCCACTTGCCCTTTGTTCTGGATTCTGGGGACTCTATTAAATATTAAAACTGTACCAGAATCTCCATTCAAAGAAACACTTTCTAAAGTTGTTCTGAGAGAAGGAAGAAGCTCAGGGAACTTTAACTTTTTTCTTTATTTTTCTGTTTCTTATTTTGGGCAGTGCCAGGAATGAAACCCAGGATCATGAGCATGCTAGGCAAGTGTTGTACCATTGAGCTACATTCCCATCTCAAGGCTCAGGGCATTTTAGGTTCTTGTCGTTCTTCTTCTTCTTTTTTTTTTTATTTATTTTTTAGTTGTAGTTGAACACAATACCTTTATTTTATTATTTTTATGTGGTATGCACATGCTAGGCAAGCGCTCTATTGCTGAGCCACAACCCCAGCCCTCGTTCTTTTTTCTTTTTGGAGGGGAGATTGCACCTAAGGCTTGGTGTATGTTGGACAAACATCACTTAGCTACAGCGTCAGCCCTTGTAAAATTTTATTTTGAGACAGGGTCTCCAAGGCTAAGTTTCCTTAACTTGGGATTCTTTTGCTTCTCCTCCTGAGTAGTAGCTGGGATTACAGGCATGCAGCACCATGTTTAACTGAATTTATATATATATATATATATATGTATATATGTGTGTATATATATATATATAGTAGTTGGACACAATAACTTTATTTTATTTATTTATTTTTATTTATTTTATTTTAA